TGTGGGAATTAAATTTTGATCTCGGCAGTTGCATAGGAATGCAAGGTCACATAAAATGGAGGCTCTTTGGACTTCAAGTTTTTCATAAGTACTGGTCAGATGGTGGGTTTCCTCCCCGTAGAGGTGCAATATTTATACATCACTCTGAGAAGCACAGAGCCGGAGACAGAAGCCTGAAGATGATGAATGAGACTTCATCGAAACGTTGCCTAGATACTTCGAATCTTACGTGGGAGAAAACCCGAACAACCAAAGATCCACATACAAATACCCGCGAGAACCTCAGAAAACATATATATATATATATATACACACACACACACACTTCACAATAGACATGACTACACAAGTTGCTTTGAAAGTTCCAGTTTTCAAAGGCAATACACATTTTCCCCAAATATACAGCAATATTAGTATTTAATTAAATGATGGGGGCCTGCTGGCATAAAATTAGTCTTGAATTCTAATTGAAACATGATTTTTGAATTAATAAGTGTTAATGAGAAAATCTGAAGAGTGAAATATTGAACATAACATTTGTACAGATATCATTGCAACAGTCTGTTTTCCAGGCTTAGGAGAGGTAGACCGGAAAAAAATAATAATAGTTTAATTATTTTGAAGAGAATCTTACCTGAATTTTTGCTTGCACTCTTTCTCTCTCTCTCTCAAGTTCTGCCTTCAGTAAGTCATAAGCATTTGTAAACTAATTTAAAAAAAAAAAACAGTTATGGAGCTTTAGAGAAAGTATTTTTTTAATTTTTTTTAGATGTTTTGGAAGTTGTCTGCAAATATGTGCGTTGAAAAATTATGTATATTAAATTTAACAAATTAAAAGAAACTTGGACTATTAATCTTTTTAATTCTCCAGCTCTTCAGAAGCTGCTATTAGTCAGAATCAGATAAAAGTGATTCTCTACTCTTATCACTTAGTTCCCATGGAAAATACTATTTCTTATTGAATTTTCCAAGCTTTTTGGCTGCTTGAATTTATCTAGCTCTATATTATACATGCATTGATCTGAATGATAACAATTTGAATGACACAATCTGTTCTGACCAAAGCTTCCTGAGAACCCAACAAACACACATAAAATCCAATTCACAGCCCAGAATGAGTCTTAACCAGTTATAATTAGTCCCAGTGATGTTTGCCAAAGTTTTTCGAGAGACATCTGATAAGAACGCACCTTATCTTACTTAAAGTGCTGCCAATGACTAAATTAGTCCCAATTAGTCTTTCTAAAACCAAACAGAGAACAAATTCACCATAGAGCTTTCAGAGTCCAAACCAATCAGACCAAATGATGTTGCTTCCTGCAAAGGTTTTCCTACCTTTGCACTTCCTTTATGCCTTGTGGGAGGGGCAATCACCTTCAAGCCTTAATCCCGAGTTGCCCCTTTTGTTTTAGCTGCTCTTGGCTCCTGGCAGCTCTGCGCACACGCTCACTGGGAACAGGCTACCACTGCCTCACTGCTGTCAGACTCTGGAAGCTCTGGAGTCAGCACATAACTCCCAGATGGTCCTGGCCCATCTCTGTATCGGACGCAGGACCCTCGTCCAAGTCCTCCCCAGACTGGTCCCTGTTCTTCTCCACTGTCCAATTCTGCTGCTGTCTCTACAGGCGAACCACAACATAATCTCTCTCTCTGAACGTTTTGGAAGAGGCCAATTTTAGTGATAACACTGTATATCTCCTTCGTTTACAAAGGGACACAATTCTATCCATGATATTTACAGTCAATCAAGGTTCAAGAAGTCATTAATGTGAACAAATTCTTACCTGAGATACTAAAGAACATAAATATAAGTTTGCTTGTCCATTTTCCTTCCTTATCCTCAAACATCATTGAAATGTTCTTAAATACTTGTTTTAAAGATGAGGCTTAAAATATGTCTGTTTTTTTTTTCCTCGGTTCCTTTAGCAGTGAAATTATCAAAATAAACCTCCCTCAACAAAATGACTGTTAAACTCTACAAATCCAACAGGGATGAATTTCCTCACTTTTCTATCATCAAAACAATTTCCTGCCATTTAATTCAACCCCACTTTCAGAAAAACCACTATGTCCAAGGTAAAAAGCATGGGTGTCAAACCTTTTGGCTTTCCTGGGCTGCACTGAATGAAGAGGAATTGCCTTGGGCTATATACAATATAGTTAATGTATATATAATTTCATAATAATATTAATGTTTATGATCTTGTGGAGCTGCACTACTAGCTATCCAAGGCCGCATGTGGCCCAAAGGCTGTGGTTTGGACACACCTTTATATCCTTTCGCCCGTTACCAACTTGGAAGTTTTAAAAAGCATGTTTTAATTTTATTTACTAACTTCTCTATTCTTTGACTACTTATAACATTTATCTAATGCAGCAGTCCCCAACCTTTTCAGCTCTCAGATTGGCAATGGCCTGACAGTAGGGGAAGGAGATGGTTTCGTGCGCACACCTGCCACTTGTGCAAATGGAGCTTCCCACACTTTTCTACCATGTGCACGGCCTAGTTCTCAATGGGCCATGGATTGGTACTGGGCCACAGACTGAGGTTAGGGACCCTTCCTCTAATGTATAATTCCAATCTCTTTCCAACAATTCAACCACATGAAATTGCTATTATATGGAATAGCACCAAACTTGGAAAATCAGAAACATGATATTATTTTCCTTTTATATGATTTGGTATTTCAGTCTGCTTTTCCACCCTGCATCTAAAACAGGGTTAACTTTCGGGTGCAATATTTCCATAGAAATCCTACATTTTGAAAACAATTTATGAAAGGTAACAAGCTAGGAACAGTAAGAATGGTAGTAATCATCTTTTAATCCTTTTTGTGTGTGAATTCCTATACTCCTGTATCTATTGTGCAAGTTAATCAATTACTGACACAAATAAGTAAAGGATACAGTACCTTTTCCATGGTCTTCGTATCTTTTTCCATTTTGCTCTGCAAAAGTTTCATTTCATTCTCTGAAAGCAGCAAGGGTAAGGCGGGGATAAAGCACACCATGAAATTACATGGCTATTTGAATAGATTCATATTGTGTGCTGCCGGTCAGCCGGGTGCATGGCAGATGAAGGCAGTGGGCAGACTGGTGACCTTCACAACTGCCCTTGACCTTCACAGAATTCTGCCTGCTGTTCAGCTGGCTGGTCAGAGAGAGGAAGATTAAGAAATAAGTTCAAGAGCCAAGTGTGTCTGAACACCCTTTTCTTTTCATTAATATTCATTCCTGCCGTTAGTCACAGCTGATACTAAATGCTTTAGCAGGTGGTTATTGAGAGAGGTATGGTCATCAGAGAAGATAAAACTGCAAAAATGTGGCCTTGTGCTGATTTATATTTCCATCCAATAGTATCATATTTCTGTATTTTGTTTTTGTATATGTGCATCATTTCATTATTATTCATATATTTCTTAATCTGGTTTTGATATGGACTTAATTGCTCTAAAACTTCTTAATTTCTAGGAAGCAGAAATGACTTATGATTGTAAATTTCTAATTTTCTATTGCAGCAAAGAGAAGAAAACCTAGGGTATATACATTTATGTATATATCACATTAATAGCATTTTCCTAAATTTCTTCATTTATTGCTTAGCAGGAATGGATAAATATTGTTATCTTGTTAGAAGTAGAAATAATTGTTATTCTATAAATATTCAGCATTTTTACATTCATAAATAACACAGCTTCTTTTTACCAGAATAAAAACCAGAAAATAAGCATATATTCAATATAAATTAATTCCACTGTCTATCAAAATTCAAGACCAACTCAAATTACAGTGCAAACTGGAAATAAATGAACAATTGCTGGTTAGACACTATTTTGCCATTTAGTTTTTTTACTACTTCTCTTTTGCTTTTCTACATATGCTTTATTTGATTTACAAGTAAAATTTACCTAAGTTAGTCTGTTCTTTCACTCCCAGTTTCACAATTTCTTGAAGCTCTGTGTTTTTTTCAGTCAGGCTAATTATTTGCTCTCTCAACTCTCGCATCTGTTGCCGATGCCACTCCACATCAACGTACCCTTCACGTTGAAGCTGAAAGATTAAGAAGCCATCTATTTCTAAAGCAGGAAGCATAAAAGAACAACAAAATGTAAATCTGATGCTGGGATGAGTGGGGGACGGACACACAATAGTTCTACAATGCTGCTATCATAAAAATTTCTGAATCCTGTCATGTAAGTTATAATATGAATGGAAGGAAAATCTAGGAGACGAAGTAGAACTTGCTGAAAAAAAGCTTTGGTCCCACTCATACAAAGACGGAAACATGTGGGGATGTATTATTGACAGGCATAATACATATCATACTGTTTGTTTGCCCTCATCATTCAGGCCAATTTATTGTGGAAGCTGCATCCCAAAGGCAGCTGGGGCCTATCCAGTCCACCCACCCTTATCTCTCAGTTTAGAAGGGCTGTCTGTAACTAGGCAGGCAAGAGAAACCATGGGCAGACAGCTCCAGGGGGCTGCAATGTGCAGGGCTAAGGAGAGGGAGGGGGTGCCTTGTTGTCTTTTGTGCCATTTCTCAGTGACAGAGCTGCCATTGCAGTGACGAGTACATCACATGTCAAAATTGGAGAAATTTCCAGGCTGGGAGCCACATGGAGCCCATCAGGCAGTCTTATAGCAATATAGTTGGCTTTTTGCTTCGTGCTGAAGCCGCCCAGAGCCAATTCATATTCTCAGCTTTAGAGCAGTTTTGCATGCACATCACACATAGGCTATTGGGTTTTGAGTTGTTTTTTTTAAATGCCATTGAAGGTTTTGGGTAAATCTCCATACAAGCAGTGATAACCTCATAGGAAAGTTTCAGGACAGCATACAACAAAAGACTTTAAAGTTATACTTTTAGTAAAGCAATCTCATTTACATTTTTATTATGCATGGCCTTTGTTAAAATCTGGCCACATTCATTATGGAAAAGACTTTGTATGCATCCAAGCTTATTGGGAGAACTACTCTTTCTTCTTGTCTGCTTCAAAGCTATTTAGAACATTTGCATATATTGTTAAATGGCTGTTGAGATTTTACTGCTGCATATTTCTTTTAATGAAAGGGAAGGGGAGGGGAAAAAAGGAAGTTGAAACAAGTTTTTAAAAAATCAGCCTGAAGCCTAACAGTAAATAGCTCAATTATTTAAAGATGTGGTATTGCTAAATTTATTAGATAATTATTAAATAATTCTTTTTGAGATCATCTGAAAATAGAAAGAAAAATGAGTACCATGATACTGACATTTTAGAAATAAACTGAAATGCTATGTAGAATTTATTTATGGTGAAGTGCACCCTACAAATATAGTTTAGACGTGTTCAAATATTAACATATATATTATTCTATGTTGACTTATTCCTTCTAGCTAGGCATCTGAGAATGATAGAGAGTTCACAAGGCTCATGTTTTTGCATAGTATCTTTCAACCCTATGCCAACAGATAAAGGCAGAATGCACAAATTACCACTGCAAGCAAGAGGAAAAGACTGCAATGATGAATTTGTTAAGGTCAATCTCTTCAACACATTCTTCAGTTCAGTCTTTGTAAACAGCAATGGTTCATGCCCCACATTTCCTAGTCATACCACAACTAACTGTAATGACCTACTACATATTGACTTTACAGAAGATAACGTAGAAAAGGCACTACGTAACCTAAAACCATCCCTATCTATTGGCCCCAATGGATTATGTGCATACTTCTTAAAATAGCTCTCCTCTGCCATAGCGGAACCCCTAAGCATTATATATGAGATATCATTCAGAACCAGCTCCTTACTAAACCTATGGTCCTTAGCTACGGTCATCCCTATCTTCAAAAAAGGTGACCCCAGCCTGGTTGAAAACTACAGACCAATCTCACTATGTTGTGTCACGTGCAAAGTCATTGAATAAATAATTAACCAATTCAATACTCCACTTAGAGTCAAACAACCTACTCTCCAAAAAACAATTTGGTTTCAAGAAAAAATTCTCCTGCAATCTTCAACTCCTACACTGCAAAAACATATGGACTACTCTACTTGACCAGGGTAAAGCTATAGATGCAATTTACATAGACTTCTGGAAAACCTTTGATTCAGTGGTACATGACAATCTACTGTTAAAACTAAACTCTTACGGCATTTCCGGATCCCTTCATAAGTGGATTACTGTGTTCCTGTCAAACAGGCAACAAATAGTAAAAATAGGCAGCGCTATATCAAATCCTGTTCCAGTTAACAGCGGTGTCCCCCAAGACAGCATTCTAGTACCCACACTCTTTATACTCTACATAAATGACCTTTGCGATTACCTTATAAGCAACTGCGTCCTCTTTGCGGATGACGTAAAACTATTCAACACCACTGACAATGCTACTATATTTCAAAGCAACCTTGATTATGTGTCTGAATGGTCAAACATCTGGCAACTCCAAATCTCAACCAACAAATGCTCTATCCTACACATTGGTAAAAAAAATCAGTACACCAAATACAAACTAGGCAAATATGACTTCGTTGATGATCCTCACTCTGTCAAGGACCTTGGAGTTCTCATATCAAATGACTTAAGCATCAAACTCACTGTAACAGCATTGCCAAAAAAGCATTAAGAGTTGTAAATCTAATCTTACGAAGCTTCTCCTCCGGAAATATCAAATTGCTAACCAGAGCATACAAAACTTTTGCCAGACCAATACTTGAATACAACTCATCTGTCTGAATCCATACTGCATATTGGACATTAATACAATAGAGCAAGTCCAGAAGTATTTCCTTCTGCTTGCAACAGAATACCCTATATCATCAGGCTTGAGATTTGGGGCTTGGACAACCTTGAACTATGCCGCCTACAGTTAGACTTAAGTGCAGCACACAAAATTATCTGCTACAATGTCCTACCAGTCAATGACTACTTCAGCTTCAACCATAACAATACAAGAGCACACAACAGATACAAACTGAATGTAAACTGCTTCAAACTCGATTGCAGAAAGTACGACTTCAGCAACAGAGTGGTCAATGCCTGGAATGCACTACCTGACTCTGTTGTTACATTCTCTAACCCCCACTCCTTTAACCTCAAACTAACCACTATTGACCTCACCCCATTCCTAAGAGGTCTGTAAGGGGCGTGCATAAGTACACCATCGTGCCAACTGTCCCTGTCCTATTCTCCCCATTTATTCATACCTATTTCCTGTATTCTTACTCATGTTTATACTTATACCTATTATGTTGTAAGCGATTAACAAATCAAATAAATCAAATAAATAAATTCCACCATGTTTTAATGTGCCTTACATTCCTCCTTTTCCTGATGAAAAGTTTCACAGTTAATTGGGCACAGTCATCCAGTTTGGCTTGTTGGGTTGGTCTACCAAATCAAGGTATGGATCTCCAAGATCCATACTTATGTTCAGAGTCATATCATCTGGCACATGCTTTTGACACAATAATAGATATAGCTTCAGATATCTGGTTTTCTTCCAAGTTCACGTTGTTAAGCAGGTTCTGCAGGATGGTTTGCTAACTATGTTTGGAATTGTTGTTTATGTCCTGGTTTAGTCTGTTTTGACTACTACGGCTTTGTCAATGGTACCACCTGTCATTTTATTCATTGGAGTTCAAGCTAAATCATGGTTCAGATTAAGTAACATAATGATTGGACCTGAAATCACTACCTTCTATGACATGGATGTCTTAGATGGATGATGAAACTTAAAATAATAAAATATGTCAAACTTCAGCGGAGGGAATTGTAGGAGATTTTGTGGTGCCAAGTTAAAGCCTCTAATACATCTTTCCAGAGAGAGAGGGAAAAAAAACGGCTATATTGTGCCAAATTAGGCAACCACCCAACTACAAAAACAAAATTTTCAGGAAAATCACATCGTTAGCTTAGCCATTCAACATTCAGAAGGCCAAAAAGTAGAGATAAACTGGGAAAAGTTGCTTGGGGGCAAGACGAGCTTTAGGAAAGAAAAAGTAAGTAATTCTCAGAAACAAACAACACCCCATTATTTTTGTAGTTCCATCCCATGATTCATAGTTGTTCCCTAATGCCCTCATTGGCTTCACTAGGCATGTAATGTGTTACATCCTGTTAAATAACTGGTTTCTCTATCCAATCACATGCATATTCTAATTTGCATAAATCTCAAGAGAAAAATGTCACTCACTTCTCTTTAGGCTTGTCTTTGTCTCTGCCAATAAATAAATAATGCTACTGCTGCTGCTGCTGCTACTGCTACTACTACTGCTGCTACTACTAGAAAAAAATAGAGAAAGTAATAGAAAACAAAGAGGCCAAAGTACTCAGAGACTTTAGAATTTAAACAAACAAGCACCTGCCACATAAGAAGGCAGACTTAACATTTGTTGATAAGAAAGACAAAAAGGAGACAGCAGAATAGAAGAGAAAGAACTAGAGAGGATAACAAATAACAAGACCTGTAAATAGAATAACTGTGACAAAAGAAAGCAAACCTACTAATAGTCATAGATGCCAAAAACAATTGGAATACCACTTGAACACTGCTGGTATTGACAAATTCACCACCAGTCAATTGCAAAAGGCAGCATTAATTGGAATATAATGTTATTTGAAGTTTCTCTCTATACCAATGACTGCATCTCAAAAGATTTCTCAAAGTATTGAAGCTTGCAGATGACAGAACAGTCATTGGTCTCATTTGAGACAGTGATGAATCTGCATACAGATGGAAGTTGAGCCATGTGGAACAATCTGGAACTGAACACACTTAAGACTGTAGAGCTGACAGTGGATTTTAGGAAGAGTCCTCCTATTTTATTATATCTTACAACATTAGGCAACACAGTATCAACAGTAGATACCTTCAAGTTTCTGGGCTCTATAATCTGCCAGAAAGTTCAGATTGCCCAAGGAGCTGTTGGAGCAATACTACAGAGAAATTATTGAGTCTGTTATAATTGTATAATTGAAATTATTGAGTCCTCTATAATTGTCTGGTTTGGCACAGCAACTTTAATGGATAGTTAGGACTGCAGAAGAAACAATTGCAACCAGCCTGC